ATTTTCCTTAAAATGCAGATGTGATTGTGTCTTCCCTATTCCAGAGGCTCCCCTATTGCTTCTAGAATCAAATACTCCTTTTTTTTAGTTTTTAAAGCCCTAGCTTTCCAGTCTCACTGTACAGTACTCCACATCCAGCACTCATGAAAATTGTGCTATTTCCACTTTAGATTTATGTTACACAATCTCAGCTGAGTACTCACTATGGCAAGACAATCCTTTTATGCCTCCCTAATTAACTTACTATACCATTAACCACAATGGCTCTTTTCATTCCTTCTGAAAAACTCCCATGATTTTCCTTCCCTCCCTCAATTTTCGGCTGAGAGACTTAACTCGTATTTTATTAGGTAGCTGGGTAGTGTAGCCAATTGTGCTGAGTTCAAGTTTGACCCCAGACACTTAATAGCTGTGTGACCTTTGGAAAGTCTCTTAGCTTTTATCTGTCTGAATTTCCTCAACTGTAGAATGGGGATAATAATAGTAGCTGCCTTCCAGGGTTTTTGTGAGGATCAATTAAGACAATATTTGTAAAGTGATTATTATAGTGCCTGGCACATAGTAACCATTTAATAAATGTTTGTTTCCCTGCAAACCCGGAATTAATTTAAGCCACCTGCCAAGAGCTCCTTCTTTTCCTCTCCTCCTAATCCCATACTGTCCAGATGCTTTCCGTCACTGTCTACTCCTTCCCCTCTCTCACATGAAGAGGTGGTCCTCCCTGCCATAGTCAACCCTTCCACGTGCATAATCGATCCCATTCCATCTCATTTCCTTTAACAGACTGCACCCTCAATAATCATCACAATCTCACTGATCTGTCTGCAGGGTGCTTCTCTACTGCCTGCAGATATGCCTTAGTTCCCCCCACCCTCACTCAATTTGTTCCCCCTCCCTTTTGTGACTAAATTATTTGAGAAGGTGGTCTACAAAATATTCTTTCACTTCCTTAACCCTCTGAAGTTTGAATTCTGACCTTGCCATTCAATTGAAACTACTCTCTCCAAAGTTCGAGATTTAACTGCCATATCTAATACTTTTTTCCAGTCTTCGTCCTTCTTGAACTTTTTGCAGCCATTGACTCCACCAATCATCCTCTTTTCCCTGAAAAAGGCTTTTATGATACTGCTGTCTCCTGTTCCTTCCCCTACCTGTATGACCACTCCTTCCAAGTCTCCTTTGCTGGATTCAGGTCAGACCTGCTAATGGTAGGTTTCCCCTCGAGCTCTATCTAAGGCCCTCTTCTCTTCTCCCATTATACTATTTCACTTGATGACCTAACGAGCTCCCATGGATTCAATTATCTCTATGCTAATAATTCTCAGCATACTATTTCTCCATCCCTAACCTCTCTTCCTAACCTACAGATTCATATTTCAAACTGAATGTCCCAGAGACACCTTAAACTCAACCTTTTCAAACATGAACTCCTCTTTTTTTTTTTTTAATAAAACCCTCTCCTTTTCTCAAAAATCCCTATTCAATCCCTAAGCAAGAGTACCACCACCCTATTGGTCATCCAAGTTTGCAACCTTGATGTCATTCATTCTCAGTTTCTCACTCTCTTACTCTCCGCCTCAATATTCAATCTATTGCCAAGTCTGATGAATTCTATTTTCTTAATATCTCTCATAACTATTTCCTTTTCTCTAAAAGCACAGACCTTGTTATAGGTTCTTATTACTTCATGCCTGGACTATTGCAATAGCCTGCTGGTTGGTCTTCCTCCCTCACGTCTTTTCTCTTTTCAGTTCATCCTCCACTTAGCTATCAAATTAATCTTCTTAAAATACAGATCTGATCACGTTACCCACTCAATAAACTCTAATGGCTCACTATCACCATCTGTATAAAATATAAAATGCCCTTTTTGGTGTTCAAGTTCTTTCATAATCTGCCTCCTCCCTCTTCCTACCTTTCCAGCATTATTATACCTTATTCAACCTTACATATTCTGTGATCCAGTGACACTGGCCTACTTGGGGTTCCTTTCACAAGTTACTGTATCGCCCAACTCCGGGCATTTTCAATGGCTGTCATCCATGTCTGAAATGCCTTGCTTTCTCCTCTCCGCCTCCCATCCTTCAAGTACCAGATAAAATCTCACTTTCTGAGATGCCTATCCAGATCCCCCTTAATATTAATGCCTTCCCTCTGTTAATTATCTCCTCTACACACACACACACACACACACACACACACACCCATGTTATATAATATACATATAATAGACACATATGTATGTACTATATGTGCATGTCTATGTACATATATGTAAATATATAATATCTTTACATAAATATATAATGTATATAACACATGTAAAATGTATTACACATCTTGTTTGCATGTTGTCTCAATCCTTAGTCTGTGTATTCCTTGAGAGCAAAAACCATCCTGCTGTTGTTTGTGGCGCATGGGACATAGTAGATTACTGACTGTGCAATCCAATCAAACTGGCCTTTTATTTGTTCCTTATGCAAAACTACATCTTCCATCCCAAACCTTTCTACTACCCATCTCCTATGTGTGGAATTCACTTCGACCTCACCTCCACCTTGAAGAACTCTTTTCTTCGATTGAGTAAGCTCAAGCACCCCCTTCTACATGAAACCAACCCCAATTTGTGCTATTTTTCTACACTACTCTGTTCTTAATTTCCTTGTATTTATTGTATTCTGTATATGTTTCTTTTTTTTTTCTTTTCCTTTTTTGGAGGCAATAGGGGTTAAGTGACTTGTCCAGGATTACACAGCTAGTAAATGTCCAAGGCCAAATTTGAACTCAAGTCCTCCTGACTCCAGGGCTGGTACTCTAACCACTGTAACACCTAGCTGCCCCTTCTGTACATTTTCTGTATATACTTACATATGTCCTGTTTGTCTCTTCTGTAGGATGTGTAATTCTTTGTGAGTAGGGTTTTATTCATTATATTTGTTCCTAATAGTGTCTGGTACACAATGGGTATTTAGTGAGTGATCATCATTTTGATATCTGATGTTGATTAGGGCTTCAGGACTTATTTCAGGATACACTTTACTACTCTTAGAAGAAAAATAATATAGATTTTGGCCCATGCAGGTAGCAGGTATCTTTGGAGGGGAAAGTACTTAAAACCAATTTTTGCCATTTTTCTTAGAAAATATGTAAATTGAGAAAAATCCATCATAAGTAAAACTCAGCAACGAAAAGACCATCAAACCAATAAGTGTGTGCCATCAGGTAAGAAAAGTGACTCATACCCTTTGCACCAGCAAACCCACTACTGACCTCTTAAAGAAGTCAACAAGAGAAATAAAGAACCAGTATAAATTGAAATACAGTAGCACTTTTCATGCAAAAAACTAAAAATCAAGTGGATACTCATCATCTGAGGAATGACTAAGCAAACTGCAATACATGAACATAATGAAATAATTGTGCAGCTCTCCCTTTCACCTGGAAACACTGTCATTGCCTCCTACACGAGTGCTTTCCTCATGGCCCAAATTCTTAGTGACCTGGCCCAGTAAAATTACTTTGTATTTTTAATATACTTTATTTTTATGCTTCTATTTTTACCTCAATGGAATGTTTCATTTTTGTCTCTAGCACCTAGCACATGTACTTGGCACGCAGCATGTACTAAATGAATGAATATGAGGAATTCAAAGAAACATGGGAAGATCTTACAAATTTGTAAAGACTGAAATATTCAATCAATAAACACTTATTAAGGATTTATTCACATGCTATGGGAAGACAATCTACAAACAAATATATACATATAAGACATATTACAGTGAAAATGGGAGGTAATCCAAGAGGGAAAGAACTAACAATTCAATGCCTTGGATTCTTGTGGAAGGTGGGATTTGACCTAAGTCTTTAAAGAAGCCAGGGATGTCAGGAGGCATAAATGAAGATGGAGAGCATTCCAGGCAAAGAGGAAGGACTCAGGGAGTGGAGTGCTATGTATTGAGTAACGGAAGACAAGCATTATTGGGGGAATAAAGTGTATGAAGGAGCCAGATTGTAAAGGGCTTTAAATGCCAAATAGAGGATTTCATAGCTGATCCTGGAGGTAGTAGGGAGCCCCTGGAGTCTGAGTAGGTGACATAATCAGACAGACAATCACTTTGGCAGCTGAATAGAGAATGGACTGGATTATGGAAAAGACTTAATGCACGGAGACCAACTAGAAGGCTACTGCTGTAGATGAGGTATGAGATGACAGAGCTTCACAGGATGGCAGCTGTGTGAATTGAGAGAAGGGAATATATGAGGGATGATGTGAAGTCAACAAGCTGGATATTGGCAGGGGTAAAGATGACTCCAACATTGTGAGTCTGGGTGACTGGTGATTCTCTCAACAGTAATAGAGACATTATAAAGAAAGGTGCTTTTGTAGGGAAGGTAATGAGGTCTGTTTTGGACATGTTGAATTAGAGATGCCTATAGGCTATTCCTTTCAAGATATCTAAGAGGCAGCTGAGGATATGAAACTAGAGCTCAGAAGAGAGGTAAGGGCTGGATAAATAAATCTGGGAATCATCTTCAATAGAGATAATAACTGAACCCATGTGAACTGATGAGATCACCCAGAAAAATAATACAGAGGGAGAAGAGATGAGATCCTAAGACGGAGCACTGGAGGAAATAAGCAGAAACAGTAAGAACAAAATATACAATGACTACAACAATGGCAACAAAAAGAACTCTAAAAGAAAGCTCAACTCCAGAAAATGGTAATAATCAATTCTGCTCTGGAAAACTAATAATAAAACATACCTTCCTTCTCTCAACAGAAAGACAGGCTACTTAAAGAGGCAGAACATTAGATATAAAATGCAATCACTTATTTGTTTTAGCTTAACTTTTTCTTTATTCTATTTTGGAGAGAGAGGTGCCATATCAAGAAGTGACTGTAATGTAGAAACAAAAGGCATTAATATAAGCTCTCTTACCCATCTCTCCCTTGAAGACTGGATAAGAGAGACAAAGAAATTTTACAGACTTACCTGCTGGGTGGGTAACATAGATGGCGTTGGCCCAATATGCCCTGAAGCAACTGTTGTTGGCTGCACTGAAAAAGTCATTGCTGGTTCTGGGTAATGTTGCTGTGGTCTCGGAGGGAGTACAGTGGAAGAAACAGGGCCCACAGTCAGTCCAGGCTGAGAAGAACAGAAAGCACACCCTTCAATTTTTTTTCTTTTTTTTTTGGAACAGCCTGAAGGCATGGTAGACTTTAATGTGAAACAGGCTAACTACTCAAATATATCCAAAATGGATGGTAGGAAAAAGACAATGACAAAGAAGAAAATGACAATTCACTAGGAAATTTTGGGGTTATCAAAGGCTACCTCCAAGAAAAAGAAAAGCATAAAAAGTTCTTTCCCAAGGAAGACTATTTTGTTTCTTAGTATTGTTAGTGCCAAGTACAGTGACTTGCATATAGGAGACACGTTAAAAGTTTGTTAAATTGAATAACATACGTGCCAACAATATTACCTTGTACCCATCTATGTGGATAAAATGCTCTTCTATATCCCTAGCAAAGCTAGAACTATGGATAAGCAGCCACACAGGACATAACAGGTAGGGTGAAACTTCTTAATATGGTATTATTTTCATGAATGTATACATCTCACTGCCAGAAGATTCCACTCTTCACAGTAAAGAGGTTTTTTTATTTTTAAATAACACAAACAAACACACACACACACACACACTTTGTATCAGAAAGATCTTGACCAGTAAGAATGTGGTGACCTTTCCTTGATATTCAGACAATTATATATTATTATATTTATTATTATACAAATTACACAATTTCACCTGTTTTAGGGGAAATGTCTTTCTGGATACTACAGAAGATTTTCTTCTTCTCATTCATATCTAGGACTTATTTCCTATCTTCCCTTCACAGGGAAGGTTGCCACAGCAAATCTCCAGTTACTTCAGCTACATGTCCCTAACAGCAGTCATTGAGTTAACAAAAGAAAAAGCATGACAAAAGAAAGCACAAGAAAGAAGCGACCATGTGCTCACCAATGGAACTTGAGTTCTCCTCAATGACCTAGTGAGTTAATGGTGGTTGAGTAGAATTATTAGGTATGTTGAGACCATCTGCTGCATCCGGGGGGAGTTTGCAAAAATGCCACAAAATACTCTGTGTGTGTGTGAATTTGAACTCAGTTTTAATAAAAATAAGGAAATGCAAACTATATAATTTCCTATTTAAAAGAAAGCTAGCTGGCCTATGCTGTTATGGCAAGATGAAAAATATGTAAATACAAATTTAAAAATCAATATCTAAGCTATTTAGTATGAATAATAAGTGAGGAAGAATGAGAAGTTGGGGACAATGAGGAAAAAAATGAAATACAGCTAACTCTCAGTGACATATGTGTGAATAATTCACTTTGAGGATTATCCCATGACAAATTTTTAATCCCAAATTGATATCCCCCCTGCTTCTTGGTGAGCTTCTGGCCAAATCTGGTAAAGTCAGACAGCACACACTATGAGACTGCAACCTAATTTGTCAAAGTCAAACTAAGTTGCCTAAAGTGCTCCAAAGCCAAGCAGAAATGATTCTTGGTTTATTCAACAGTATTCGTTCCCCATTCCCCCGGCCATTAGAGAAAACAACTGAGAGTTGATGGTAGTGGTAATTCAGGAAACTCATCTTATGAACAGATCACCTTATAAACACGAGCAATGAGGATTGAAATTGAGAACTTACCGCTGTAGGCTGCTGGTAGGGCCCCAGAGATGGGTGGCCCTGTGTCCCAACCTGACCATCACTGACAGGTGGGCTGTAGACTCGCTGAATAGTGGGAGGGATGGCATCAGGCAGGGAAGAGTAAATCACGCTCTGCTGGCTACTCTGGGAATCTGAGTACACAGTGGAGCCTTGGCCACTGTCAAATGTGCTGTCCGCTGGAGGCGGCAAACAAACAAATAAAAGGTTTAGGGTAAACATTTTAAAAACACTATGATCCCATTAATGCCCAGAACAAAGAATTTTGGACATGTTCAGGAAAATAGAAACATGAGCACAACACAAAAACCCACTACTCTGTTAGAACTCACTTCTAAGGAATTTGTTAAAACTTTTTGCAAAGAACATCAGCTCTGAAAGAGGTGGGTCTGCTCTATATGTCAGAAGGTAATTAAAGCCACCAGCTTGACTACTACAACATTCATTGTACTGAGGAAGCATCACATTGTAAGAAGGGTCCTGTCTCCCAATTCCCATGTTATCATATACATTCACATTTGTACATATTGTCTGACCACACAGAATATAAACTCCTTGAGGGAAAAGATTGTTCAAGAGTAGGCACTCAATAAACTACTTTTCAATAATTTATAATTTCAAGTATTTCAAACACTCGATTGAACAATTTCAAGTCTTTTAAAGAGCTAACTGGGGGGCAGCTAGCTGGAGTAGTGGATAGAGCACTGGCCTTGGATTCAGGAGGACCCGAGTTCAAATCTGGCCTCAGAAACATAACACTTACTAGCTATGTGACCCTGGGCAAGTCACTTAAATCCCATTGCCCCAAAATAAATAAATAAATAAATGAATGAAAATAAAGAGCTAGCTGTATGCCAAACATTGTTCTAAGTGGTGGGGAAACAAAGTAACGACATACTGGTGACTGGCCCTTTAGGAACCAACATCCTACGGACGGGGAGAGAACATTTACATATGAGCTACATACAAAGCATCAATCAACCAGCACCTACTAGGTGTCAGAGAAACAAGAACAAAAATGAAATGTCCCTTAATTCCAGGAGCTCACATTCCATTAGGGAGAAAAAACCAAGTACACATAATAATATATCAAATAGGTACAAAATTAATATAAGGAAAGGCAGGGGGCAGCTAGGTAGTGCAGTGGATAGAGCACCACCCCTGAAGTCAGGAGGACATGAGTTCAAATCCAGCCTCAGACCAAACACTTGACACTTACTAGCTGTGTGACCCTGGGCAAGTCACTTAACCCCAATTGCCTAAAATTATATATGTGTGTGTGTGCCATCCTTAATTTCTCTCCTTACTCTGCTTCCGACCCTCTACACTTTGTCCCTGGATGGGCCCCCCCACTCCCCTAACATTTTTCAGCTCCCTTTTGGGAAGTCTCCTTTAGAATGTCAGTTCCTTGCAGGCAGTGATTGTCTTTCTTTCAGTTTGTATTTGTCCCCAGGGCTTAGCTAAGTATCTGGTATATAATAAGCACTTGATGCTCACTGACTGATCTGACAAGGTAATTTTAGGAGGGATTGTACTAGTGAGTAAAGGATCAGGAAAGATTTCATGTAGCAGGTCATGCTTCAACTGCAACTTAACAGAAACCAGAGGATCCAAAAGCAGAGGGTGAGGAAGACGTATATTCCACACATGGAGGACGGCCAGATCAAAGGTTTGGAGACAATGCTGCGTATAGTGTTGAAAAAGAAGATATAGTATGGCTGGATCAGAGTATGTAGACAGGAAGAACATACATTGGGAAAGTAGGAAGGGACAGGTTTGTAAAGAATTTTTATATACTAAACATGTAAACTCATATTTATTCGATCCCAGAGATAATAAGGGATCACTGGAGTTTATCGAGTAGGGGAGTGATATGATGTGATCAGTCCTATTGATAACACTTAAAAGATTGGCAGACTTCACAACAGACCAGTAGAGTCACTTGAATAGGTCTTGCCTACATTTGGTATTTAGGAAAAATAAACCCACAGAGTAACATCTCAGTATTCTGGTTGCTGTCCCATTATGAAAGCAAAGTGTATGTCTGGATCCTCCATCCAGCATTCTATGCACTACCAAGTTCACCATGAGCCAAGCTTTTTTACAAAAGAACTGCACAATCCATTGCTTTGTTGCTGCTCATCAGGCAGAGATTTGGTCTGAATTCAAGTCTGGAAACTGCAGAAGCTTGGCAATTGGTCCATCGTGGCATCTTTGTAAAATGTAAGTCAGGATTATAATGGTTTTACTGAATATTAAAGCTTGAGAGGGGCCTTTTCAGATTCACTGAAGCTTATTAAATATCTCCATACAATTAACAAGCTTGTTTCACTAAAACTATTGTGTCTCTCAGTGGAAAATTCCAAGATGGTGCCCATGGAAATTGTTCAGTCTACAGCTTTCATTTCAGTAAAAATGAAAAATGACAGCTGGTTCTCAATCCCGCCTTTCTTGTTCCCATATCCCAAAGGAAACTCTCAATGTCAGCGACAGCCAAGCTGCCAGCCTCAGGATTCGCATGCACCAAATGGCAAGCTTTTTTTCCCTAACTCAATAATCAGACGAATGCTAGTACAGCAGTGGGGAAAGCCAATTTTGCCAATGTACTCTTGCAGAGAGCAAAAAGAAAAAGAAAAAAACATGTTTTGAGTGGTAGTGGTAGTGTTTATGACCTGATTCAATTCTTCTCTCTTCTCTTCTAAGTGCATTCAGATGTTTAATTTAAATTTATGAAACAAAATTTAACCTTGAATTGTGCAGTCATCTATCACTCACTCTGTAAGGCAGCATGGTTTGGAGGATGGTGTGCTTGACTTGGAGTCAGGACGATTTACATTCAAATCCCACCTGTGACACTGACCAGCTATGTGACCCTGTGACCTCTCTTCATTGGTACAGTGGAGACAATAACACCAGTAGTACTATCAAACACAGTTGCTATGGGGCTTGATGGAAGCAGCAGTTTAAAGAACTTTGCAAACACTAAGGTGCCTGGAACATTGTAAGCTCTTAATAAATCCTTACTTCCTCTACTCCCTTTTTTCTCCCTTTTTCCTTCCCCCTTCTCTCCTCCTTTCCTCTCTGTTATTATTACTATCATGCATACATACCATCACGCACAGTGATTTAGTAAACAGGAAGATTTACAAGTCCCAACTCTAGGAGCCTACACTAAGCTTTACTCTTTAAGTTTCAGTAATAAACCAGGTAGTCAATAGACTCTTCATATTACTTCCTTGGATTTTTGGATTTCCTTTGAACTTACAATAGCAAATGAGTAGAAACATAAGTAAACTCAAAACCAAATGGCAAAGTGCATAGAAGTAAAATCAATTATATGCCGAAACAAACTCTGTTTACAGCATTTTGAGTGCACATAGGTATTAAATTATTAACCTACAAAACAAGCTTTTTTTCCAACTCCCCAACAGGAGAGAGCTGTTTATACTAGGCTGAAGAATCTAAAAGCACTATCAATCAAAACTGTTAAGACACAGACTACTGGATTATGTGGTAAAGCACCATATGAATATGCGGGGTTAGAAATCAATTGGGGTTTTGTTTCCAATTTCCTTATGCTGTGTAAACTGCCTGCAAATGTCATAAAAGAGGCTCCCTTAGATGATTCAGCTACTCAAGTGTTTATCCACTAATGTATGCTATTGAACAGCACACCCAAGTTGAGGGATTTGCTCTGCAGTTCCCAGGCCAATTCCATTTTTTAACTAAGCACAAATTAGCTTTCTTCACAGTTTCTAAACAAAGAAACTGGACTAAGCACTTGGTAAAGCTGACCACTGGACATAACCAATGACTGACCCTTTCCCTCTTCACCATACACTCAAAAATGAAGAAGGGAGAAAAGGAGGAAGGAAAGAAGGGAACAAACATTTTTAAAGGACCTACTGTGTGCCAGGCACTGTGTTAAACACTTTACAAATACTATCTCATTTGATCTTCACAACAACAACTTTGGGAAGTTGGTGCTATTACTGGTTCCATTTTTATAGTTGAGGAAACTGAGGCAAACATAGGTTAAGTGATTTGCCCAGAATCACATGTCTAGAAAGTATCTGAGGCTGAATTTGAACTCATTCCTCACTCCATGCCCAGGACTCTATCCACTGTACCACCAAGTTGTCTCCTGAACTGTTGCCCAGGGTAACTCTATATAAGGACTATCTACTATCAATGAAAGTAGTAGTAAAACCTCCTTTTCTATCTATTCGATATTAAGTGCCAGCAATCAAATGTAACCCCAGTTTTCTCATCTTTAAAATGAGGCAATTTATGAGATTTTTATAGGAGATGATTCATCAATTTATTCATGGATTTTTAATCAAATGTTTATGCCAACCCCCAAACTAAGATATTTAAATTGTTTTGAATGCTTTCACTAAAGCAACTATTGCTTTTAGTCTGTTTATTTTTCTTTACAAACTAAAGTAGTTTTTTCTTAAAAAAAAAAAACAGACAAACCCAGACCAAAGTAATTACTTTTAAAATGAACTATTTTAGTTGTAAATATAATGTGTTTCATCCAGAGAAAGAACTAGTCTGACTGCAGAATGAAGTATACTATGTGCTCTCTTTTTTTTTTTCTTCTATTTTGTTTCTTCTTTTTGTGGTTCCTCCTACTAGTTCTAATTCTTCTTTACAACATGACTAATGTGAAAATATGTTTAATAGGAATGTATATGTAAAGTCTATATCAGATTGTGTGCTATCTTGGAGAGGGAGGTGAGGAGCGAGGGGAAGCAAATTTAAAACTCAAAAGCTTATAGAAGTGAATGTCAAAAACTAAAAATAAATTAATTTTTTAAAAATATAATGTGTTTTACTATGCCCAAAGAGCTATAAAAATGTGCATACCCTTTGACCCAGCCATAGCACTTCTAGGGCTATATCCCAAAGAGATCATACAAATGGGAAAAGGACTCACATGTACAAAATATTTATAGCAGCTCTTTTTGTGGTGGCAAAGAATTGGAAATTGAGGGAATGCCCATCAACTGGAGAAGGGCTGAAGAAGTTATGATATGTGAAAGTAATGGAGTACTACTGTGCTATAAGAAATGATGAACAGGCAGACTTCAGAAAAACCTGAAAAGACTTGTATGGTC